ACACACACACACACACACACACACACACACACACACACACACACACCTAAAGGCATGCATGCATTCATCCATAAGGACTGAGCTTGTGATTTCTTTACTCAAAGGTGAGGACAATCCCTCTACCAAGGCAGGGTTGGGGTTATTTCTCTTTCTCTTATTCTCATTTCTCTCTCATTTCTCTTATTCACATAAAGGCAGCCCAGAGCATGTAGGAGTGAAGTGATTTGCTAGGGGGCACATGACTGGCATGTATCAAAGCAAGATTTAACTTCAACTCTTCCCTGAAGCCAGCTTTATTCATTACATGGCACTGCCTCTCATATACATAAATTCATTTGCTATACATGAGAGCCAGTATACATAGAGAGTCACATATGCATATTTTATGAGAAAGCTTCCTGATGGAAATATATGCCTAGGTATCAAAAGTGGACTCTGGGGCTCAGGGCAGATGAGCCACACTGCCTGCCTCAAGCTTACATGCTTATAACCTCAGATCCTTTCAAAAGAGAAGAAAAATATGAAAGATTTGTATCAAAACCACTCTGTACATGAATAACTGAGTAAATGAAAACAAAGAAATATGGAGATGAATTGGGTTTGCTAGAGTTTTATTAGATTAATTAGTTAGATTAATCTTGTTAAGTCTTTTGAAGAGTCACTCCATTCATTCTTTATAGTGATTCTGATTTGGATGAAGAGAAAGAGAATGTCAATGAAGAGTGACCTTGGCATTGGTACAAGGGAACATAGCCTGCCCACCTGGTCCCTAGTTCATTCTCCAACAGTGAAAATGTTCCCAATGGAAATCCCCAAAAGCCACCAATCTTAGAGGCATAAGACCTGGGCTGGCATCCTGGCTCTGTCACACCCTGCTGGGGTCACATCAGGCAAGTCCTTTTATCTTTCTCATCATGGAACACTTTCATTCTTAATTTATGGGACTTTGGGGAGGCACCAATGAAATAAAGCACCTGAAAATACTTTATAATACTAATAATAGCCGTTATTATTATTATTATTATTATTTTTATAAGGGCTGCTAGGTGCTTCAGTGGATAGAGTGCTGGACCTGAAGTCAGGAAGACTCCTCTTTCTGAGTTCAAATCTGGTCTCAGATATTTTACTAGCTGTGTGACCCTGGGCAAGTCACTTAACCCTGTTTGCTTCAATTCTTAATCTGTAAAATGAGCTGGAGAAGGAAATGGCAAATCACTCCAATATCTCTGCCAAGAAAAGGTCAAATGGGGTCACAAAGAGTCTGAAATGATTTAGCAACAACAAAAACAATTATTATTATCATCAATAATAAGAGCTAACCAAGAAAACCCCCAATATGGCCATGAAGAGTCATACACAACTAAAAATGACTGAAAAAGAACAGCACCTCTATAGAGCTTCCTCTGTGTTAGGCATGATGTTAAGTGCTTTAAATGTGACTTATTACTATTTTTATTTTATTTTTAACTATTTCATTTTAAAATATTTATTTAGTGTTTGATTTAAAATTTTATTTAATTCAAATTTTTATTTATATTATCTGACTTATTGATATATTTGTTTTGCAATTGACAAGAATATACGTATCTTTTTAATACTTCCCTCTTCCTCTCTTGAAAGTCCCCAATCTTTAATGTAGACACGTATCCAAAGCCTACACTTTAGATCCTTTGCCAGTCTCTTTCATCTGTCTGGAAATCTTCACAAAGTGATCAAGTCCAGAGTACATGTGGTTGAATCTATACCCGTCCACTGCACCAAAGATCGCATTGATTCAGTAATTCAGTGCAGTCGTGCAACATTTCCTGAAAACAATGGCAATCATAATAACCAGAAATGGCAACATCAGACAAACCTACCATATGACTTGTAAGGTCTTGACTTTAGCCAACTTGCATCAAAAAAGGAAGGAGAAGGTGCCAGAAGTCCGTGATGGTCACGCTGAAGTGCCTGAGTGGGGTAGAAAGAGCACTAGAACCAGGGGCAGAAGTGAGAGGGAGTGCCTGGTCACATTTAAAGGCACTCTCCTATGTTTGCTGTTCAGTTGTGTCTGAATTTTGACCCCATTTGGGGTTTTCTTGGCAAAAATACTGGAGTGGCTCGCTATTTTTTTCTTCAGCTCATATTATAGATAAGGAAACTGAGGCAAATAGGGTTAAGCATATAGGGTTAAGTCACACAGTAAGTGTTTGAGATCAGATTTGAACTCAGGTCTTCCCAGCTCTAGGTCTGACACTCTGTCCATTGTGACACCTAGCTGCCACTTAACCAATCAACATTTATAGAATGTTGTTCCATTACTACTATTAAATCAATCATGTTGATCAGTTTTAGGCAGCTTATTCTTTTTTTTTCTTTTGTTTTAAGATTCTTTGTCATAAGGCATGGCTCTTTGGGAGGATATGGAGGAGGAATCCAAGCAAAATACAAACAAAAAATAACAATACATTTTTTTAAAGACAGCATTAAGCAGTGGATAGGGGCCAGCATTGGGTCAAGGTTCAAGTTTTGCCTCTGATTAGCAAAATGACAATGGGCAAGTTACAACTTCTTAGTGCCCCCAAACAACTCTCCAAAACTCAGCATTATGAAGGAATTGCTGATCTGCATTGGTGGAGGGACTTTCCACATTTATGAAAGAACAGGTCTGAGCAACAAGAAATAAATGATCACTATTAGCATTACCACCTTAGCTCTAATGTCAAAAGGTCTCCTGTTTCTGCTATTTCCTCTTCATGTATACTTTGGAAAGGCACACCCTCACTAAGACTCTGTGTGCCTCACTGTAAAATGAGATGGTCAGAGCTGTAAAATGGGTTGTCCACCAAGGGCTCTTTCTTCCCTGAATACTCTTATCCTTCTGATATTAGACTCAGTTTTTCCTGACTGAATGAGATCTTGATATATGTAATGCCAAAACACCTAATTGGCTTGACCACTCAGACTCTGGCAGGTAGGTGGTATAGTGCAGAGAGCACTGGACCTGGAGTTAGGAAGACTCATGAACTGAGTTCAATTCTGGCCTCAAACACTAGTTATATGACCCTGGGCAAGTCACTTCACCCTGTTGGCTTCAGTTTCCTCATCTGTAAAATGAGCTGGAGAAGGAAATGACAAACCATTCCAGTGTTTTTGCCAAGAAAAACACCAAACGATGTCACAAAGAGTCAGACATGACTAAAATGACTAAACGATAATAACAACTCAGCTCACCAAAGCAGGACATTTTGACTGAATATTCCTATTGAAGGAAGAGATGAGCCTAGCCCAGCCATGCTGTTTCATGGAGATGCCATTTGGATTGACCCAACCAATCCAGCTGTTTACAATGAGAATGAGGAGATGTGATTTCAGGATAAATGATCTGGTAAAAATATTAGTCAAGTCAGTTGTTTGGCTAGATGCCACAAGCAATTCAGGAAAGTGTCCTATGCAGCACAAGCCCTCTCCCCTCCCCATGTGCATACACAAGGAGCACTCAGACCCTAATAACCTCCTCAGCAGCTTCCCAGGCAAAGACCCCTTCATGACACTTGCCAAGTTCCTCATCCCAGCTCCCTTTTGTCTCGTGTAGATCACAGTCCCTACAAGAAATTAGTCAATTTAACCCTCCTTACCTTGGAGTAATAGTCATACAATAATCATAATTATTCCCTGCCCTGTAGGCACTCAACAGCTGTTCTGCTGAGCTCAAAGATCATCTTTCTTTCTC